TTTTTGTAACCTTTGCCAGATCTGTGCCTTGCCACAATTCTGTCTCTGAGTTCTTCAGGCAGTTCCTTTGACCTCATGATTCTCATTTGCTCTGACATGCACTGTGAGCTGTAGGGTCTTAGACAGGTGTGTGGCTTTCCTAATCACGTCCCATCAGTATAATCAAACACAGCTGGACTCAAATGAAGGTGTAGAACCATCTCAGGGATGATCAGAAGAAATGGACAGCACCTAAGTTAAATATATGAGTGTCACAGCAAAGGGTCTGAATACTTATGACCATGTGATATTTCAGTTTTTCTTTTTTAATAAATCTGCAAAAATGTCAAAAATTCTGTGTTTTTCTGTCAATATGGGGTGCTGTGTGTACATTAATGAGGAAAAAAATGAACTTAAATGATTTTAGCATATGGCTGCAATATAACAAAGAGTGAAAAATTTAAGGGGGTCTGAATACTTTCCATACCCACTGTATGTACGCTTGATATTTCTTCTGACCTGGCAGCGCATCAGAGTCTTCCTCAGACTGGTGTCCCGCTGCTGGAGGCCAGTACAGGCTCTGCTCCAGTCTCTGTTCATTCTCACCAGTCTTTCCTGGAGATCTGGACTTTTCTGAGCTCTCAGGTTGACGGACAACATGACAGACTTGTAGTGAGTAAACGTCTTCTGCAGTTCCTGTAAGAGGACATCCATGAATATAAATGAACAAACTGGACGCATATCAGATCTATTGTGTTTGGCCTTGGTTGTGACCTTTAGTTCTTTGGCTCTTGCTTCCATATCCTCAACACTAGCTGCTGGGTCAGACTGCTGAGGGCAGCCCAGCTCCAGGATCACGGTTTCCAACCAGGAGGTGATGTTGTCGAGGTCGGATGCGAGCCACTGAGGCTCCCGAGGGTCGGCCTGCTGGTCGCTGCTGGGCTGAGCCTGGAGCAGCTCCCAGCGTTCAATCACACCTGAGAGAGCACAGACATCCACTGATCAACTACTTATTTATTCTAACTGAGGGATCTGGGGGAACAGAATCAGATTTCCACAACATCATTATTGCCTTAAGAGTTTGTGTTTGCTGTTTTTGCAGTTTGTTCTGGGTTCATTCGATGTGTAGGGTGTGTGCCTGGCACAAACTTGGGCATTTGTTTCACCTTCTTGTTGCACTGAAATGTCATATGAACGTAATATGACTGCGCTGTCTAAGTGGACCATAACAGTGGTTTCTAAGAAGAGACCTGGTGGTTTGCCGCAGATTTTTCATGGAGGTCTACAGAGGTCCTTGGACTTCATGGCCTGGTTTTTGTCCCAACATGCAGTGGGAGTTGTAGGACCTTATATACACAGGTGTGTGCTTCCTAAACTATGTCCACACAAGTTCTGGATGCATCTTAAGGATAAATAAACCAAAAAGGACACGCCTGATCACCATGTGGAGTTCCACACTGGGTGAAGATCATATTCCATCCGATCCACTGATTTCCATTCAGTTCGGTTCCATTACTACAGCAAATCACATGGAGTGTCTCACCTGACTGTTTGTCCGAGGCCATCAGTCCTGTCAGGCCGAGCTCCTCCGGCTGCTCCTTGTCATCCAGGATCAGAGACACTCTTCTAATGTTCTCGATGCTGCCGCTGCACTGAGACATGAGGCGCAGCTGGAGACAACACACACACTGTCAGGACTAACAAAGACACTGGCACCAACATCTATGTTGCAGTTTCATTCAGTTGGTATAGTGAAACCGCGACGAGGAGGCTTGAGACGTACGTAGCCCTGCTGTAGAGGCGTGCTGGCGAGAGCAGGTGGAGCCTCAGTGTGGCCCTGTGCGTCCTGCTGGAGAGGCTGTGGTTCTGTGTCTGCAGGTGGCGGCCATCTTGGAGACTCATGTACAACCTTAGACCTGCCTGGAGCTGAAACACAAACAGAGCAAGACCACAGGCATCAATCCTCAACCTTCTCATCTGTGGCAGAGTCTCTTCATCTAGATTCCAACCACCAGGCTGAATTACTGAATTCCTCCTGGCTGAAGCCTTTGGTAACAATCGTATCCTGCAGCATCCGTTTCACCACCACAGTCACACTGCAGTAAACTACAGAGAACAGCACCCTTTCTCTGTGTTACCATTTCCTTATGCACTAAACTCGCAAACAAAGCTTTTTAAAAATACATTTATCAGTACATTTGACTAATTAATTTGTTAAATGCAATGACATGCAAAAACAGCACAAAAGAGACTTAGGATAGCAGCAACTTTCCCTGGGAACCAAGAGCCTTTTGATGAACTTTACTGCATTTTGTCTGGAGGAACCAGGGAGCAAATTAAAGTTCCAGGTGGCAAGAGTCTCTGATCTGGGTACTGTACTTCCTGATGGTTGAGGAATTGTCATGACAAAGCACAGTGCACCGTGACTGCTTCAGCTTGTGTGCAGCATCAATCACGAAACAAATACCATTAACTTAAATATTGGTATTTATTAATGTTAAAAACAATCTTAGACTTTGTTACCAGCTTCATAACTAAAGAAGAGTGATGAGAGTGCAAACGAGATGACAGCACGAATGTGAGGGCGAGTGAATGAGAGAGACAAGAGAACAAAGTGAGGGAGGGGGCTCAAACTTAATTTACCGATTGTTTCATTGCTTCACACACTAATTAAAAAAGACATGGCTCAAACACTCAGTGGATAGTCTTCTGTCTCCATTCAGTTGTCCGAGTCATTCACAGCAAATACAACAACAGTTAGCTGCTGCTGTTTCCTTCTAAACCTCTGTTTTTTTTTTATCTTCAGTCAAATCTGCCTGACCTTCATGGTTCTTCACAAACAGGACTGTGCAAAAGGGATTTTTATCTGCTAGTTTAGTTTCTCCATAGTTACAGAAACTTTATATTATAAGCTATACTATTGTTTGATTTAGTTCCTGTGCTGTTTGGTCATAAAGATGCTTATGTAGTCTATTTCTCGGTTATTACAACATTCACTCTGAGGACTGCAACTGGGTTTTATGGCTTTTTGACATTTAAAACCCTTACAACAAAAATAAAACAAACAAAAACGTGAACATTTGCTCTCACAGGGCACCATGTTTGTGTGTGTGTGAGACTAGACAGTGTAAATGTACCTGATAGTGCACTGAAGTAAGTTCCCTCCTCCTCCTCATCTTCATCCTCATGTGATGATGACCCTCCTACGTCTCCGGTGTGATCCCACTCCAGAGGCAGCGAGTCCACACTCACCGGTGTCTCCCGCCCTGAACGCTCCAGTGGCGATTCTAGCAGATGGGTGGGTGTGGCCGGGAGGCTTCCCTGGCTCCGCCCCAGCCACGGTCGACCAATCAGCTCCAAACTTGACTCCAAGCAAAAGGTGATACCAGAGAGCTCTGGTTCTACTGTGATGATCTAAGGTGATGAAATAACAGGTGTGAATATGAGAGTGTCTGAACTCTTAAAAGCTTTGCATGGTCAGACTAGTGACAGTGTAGTGACTACTGACTGTTAGCATTACAAGCACCGTGTGTAAAAGCACAGCTGACTGCATGTGTGAGAGGGGAACTGCCCCTCCCTCCTCTAAATACACTGACAGAAAATACAGCAGGAAAACAAAACAGGACAATCCGCACAAACTCCAGAGGCTATGCTTGGTGATGGTTACAGGAAGTACAGGGTGTACCACTCGTTAGGTGACGTGATGTTTTTTTGTCTTCCTGAGCATTTCAAAGTCACCAAATTTATAATGAAGGATAATTTGCTCTCCTGTTTGTTTTGAGACACTTTATTCAGTACAACAAACACCAAACATGTGTGAGCATCCCTGTAGGACTCACAAATATGTCTGGAATTAGCAAACAACAATCATTTGTGAACTGTAACATTGGCGCCAGTTGTTAGCTGCATGTTAGCACTGCTCGCCAATCAGTTTTGTGAAATGGGGTCCACGCTGACAAAAGTCTCTGGAAGCCTATTGTTTTAACTGGATTTTGAATTTTGTTTTTACAGTTTTCTTGGTTTGTTTTTTGCTCTATTTTCAAATTTCTCCGGTACTGTATTTCTAGCATATTTTATTGTTTACTGTGAGTTTTGTTGTTCAGCACTGTCGTTCCCTGATTGTATGGGTGGTAGTGTTTGAACTGACAGATCTGAGTGTTTTCGATGCCCAATAGTGATGACATTTTGGTGATCTTCATTTTATGGGGTGAATTTTAACATAACGGTTGTATGTGATGTTAAAATCAGAATTAGGGTTAAGTCAAAGTTTCATACTCTAAGAATCACTTCACAAAACCAACATCTTCAGTTCACTGGATAAGCAAGCAAGCTTAGAATAACAAATAGAAACTGGTATTAAATGAATCAGTTCAATTCAGTTTTATTTGTGTAGAGCCAAATCACAACAAAAGTCATCTCTTATAGAGAAAAACTCAAGAAATCCCCCTTGAGCAAGCACTTGGCAACAGTGAGGAGGAAAAGCTCCCTTTAACAGAAGAAACCTCAGACAGACCCAGGCTTGGGGTGGGCGGCCATCTACCTCGACCGGGGTGAGTGGATAGAGGAGAAAGGAAAGAAAAGCATCACAAATCACTAGTGTGTCTGTGACATATAGCCATCAATAGAAGAACAGAAAAGGAACAATTGCTTATTTGAAAAAAATGCATCAATTGACGCTGAAGTAAAAAGTACAGTGTGAGTGTTCTCCAGCTCACCGGGGGCTGGCTGAGACGCTGGTGGAAGCGGACCAGTCTGCTGAAAACTTCCTGGCAGTAAGAGTGTAGCTCCTCCAGCTCGTCCTCTATCAGCGCTGCATCCTGTGGGGAGCTCTTCTGGATCAGACTCTCTCCAAACACTATCAGCCCGTCAATGCACTCAGTGTTCAGCGTGATCTCCTTCTGCAAACTCTACAGGAAGCGAGGGTGGACAGTTGGAAGAACAGAGACCGAGTCAAGAGAATGAGCAGAGCGTTTTAGAAAACTCGAAGGAACAAAACATGAATGCTAATAGTATTTGAAGAAGGGCACCAGTTAATAAATTGGAAGAGAAACTGGACGGTGGTGTCTTGGCGGGGGACCGTCTGTCCCGATCTAAAAGATAAATTCTTCTCAAAAGTGTTTACACATTTATAAAGGTAATGTTTATTAGAGGGGAAAAAAGAACTGAGGAGAGCTTTTTCATACAGCTGTGTTCGTGTCGTGCCCTCACATTGAGCTGCTGTATCTTGTGATGGATGTCGCTCTCCGAAAAGTGTTCGACGTTGGTGAGCTGCAGGTCGAGCTCGGTCAGCCACGCCAGCATGCTCTCCCTGGTGCGTTCAAATTCCTCCCTCTGGCTGGTAAAATGCTGTGAGAAACACGAAGAGGGGAAACTGAATATTTCACACGCTAGTTTAAAGTATTGTTCACAATTCATCTTCAGACTGTAACATTCAGATGAAGTGAATAAGCCTGTGATTCTCTATCACCTGATACAGAATCAAAAGACTGAAAATCAATGTCAATCCTTCGCATGAAATTTTGGCAAATTAAAAAATAAGCAAGAGATGTATTCAGTCCAGATTTAAATGCCAGAATTTGTGTAAATTAATTCTGACATTTGTACTGCACCTTGAGTCTGCGGAGGATGGCGGCCACTCTGCGGCGCAGGGTGTCCCAGCGCCGGTTGCCTTCGTGGACCATGGCTTTGAGCTGGCTAGCTCGATCAGTGCGGTTCTCTCGGGCCAGACGGCGGTACTGGTTGTTGAGCAGCTCCAGCTGGGTCAGATGCTCATGAACCTGCCGCTGGAAACCCTAAAAAGCACAGGAAGAAGGATAAACCGTGCATCTGGAGTCAAGTCATTCTGAACAGAAGTATCCGATTATGCCATTACATGTCTTTTGTTCTATCTGTAAGTGAGCTGCAGCTCTTCTTATAATATTGATTGACAGAAAATTATTTGGCACCAATTCTGAGAATTTTTCCAGCTTCATAAAGGGAATATTTGGGGGTTTAAGTTGGAAGACATGAACAGAGGAATAGAACCAAAGAGTAATGATTTTTTTTTAAACTAATGAGCACATTGCGGAGGAAAAGGTCAAAGATGATATGAAAATGGTTGATCAAAGGAGACTGATGCCTTTGAGGAGGGTTCTCCCACAGTTTTGTCTGTGCAACACGAAGCAGTAACAGGTAAAGCAGTCTGGCAGACATTTCTGTAAACTCGTCACAGTGTAAATGATTAACAATCCATGAATTTAGTCATTAATTTAGGTTTGGCTTTGCTAAACAAGAAAATGACAGAGCCAACTCTGCAACTCACCTCAAACGTCTTGAGCTCCTCCTTGGCAACGGTGTAAAGGACGTCTGCAGAGTTGGGGTTGGCAGCCGTGTGCTCAGCCATTTTCAGCCAATCCTCAAACTGCGAGTAGTCATCAAGGAACTTGCACCAGAGTCTCCAGGTCTCCTCGATCCTACAAGGAGACATTGTAATGGAGTTATCGAATAGTAGTTGTCATCAGAATTATCAATTTGACTGTAATGTCATGTACTGCAATGTGAAAATATCGCTCTGTTGGAGGCATCAGAACGTGTTCTGTGGTATTACAGTAGGTGATAAGCCAAGCAGTGAAATAAATCTTATCACAATACACCACACATATCCACAGAAAGCAATCAAGCACTGAAAAGTTCAGTCTTCCTACTGATTTCAGTATGTGTGTGTTAGCTCCTACCTGAGCCTCCTGTCCAGAGCCATGGCACAGATGGTCCTCCAGCGCTGGTCCAGGCTACGGCTGGTTTCCTGCAGGGAGTCGCCCTCCGCCTCAGCGTCGCCAGCGGCATCTTCATCCCGCAGCAGAACATCACACAGGCTGAGCACTGAAGCCACGCCCTCTGTGTGCTGCTCAATGTCCTTCTGCAGCTCCTAGACGCACACATGGAGGGGACACAAACACATCACACAAGCACATACCCAGTGATGGAAAGGAATAGTACTTAAGTACAATTTTGAGATATCTGTACTTTGCTTGTTAATAATGTACTTTTTACTCCACTACATTTACTTTATAACTTTAGTTACTAGTTACTTTTCAGAATGAGATTAATAAAACAACACACAGCATAATCATAAAACTGTATTGACCCTCAGTGTAAAATTCACAAACTAGCTCCACCTTTACCAGCTGCAAAATAAATGTTATGTAAAAATAAAACCTAAAACAATGAAACTGACCATGCGCAGTACAAGACACTACAGTAACATGAAGTCTTAGTTGAAGTGTGAAGAATCTTTAATAAGTGCTTAAAGTCGTGTGTATGCATGTGTACCTGCTGCTCGGCCAGCCTCCTCTGGATCTCCTGGAGGTGACAGACATTGTAGGTGATGGGTCTGGACAGCTCAGCCTCGATGCGGTAAAGCCACAAGCGGAGGTTACTCATGTTCTTATCCAGCTGCTGCACTGTCACCAGAGTTTCCTTCAGCTTCTTCACCCTTCACACACATACACTGTTATAATCATCTATAGCATGCAATTAAGACTGTGAGAAACATCAACGCACATTTGCCAACATCTAACCAAGTGGGTTCCAGTGTTCAGGCTTGTGGAGTAAAGTCTGACAAATGTAGAGAGAGATAAGAGAGAAAAAGAAAATACAGGGAAAAGAAAGAAAGAAGAAGACAAATATTTTGGAAAGAGACAAAAAAGAAAAAGGATCAAAACGAGGAAAAACAGAAGGGAAGGCAGAAACAAAGAAAAACTCTTCACTAACCTACAACTTACAGGTAAAGACAAGAATTTCTAAGTCTCCGTGACAACTGACCCCTTTGTGAATGTGCACAAATACAGATCACACAACATGGACTGATGTCATAGCAACGCCTCTGACAATGAAAGCGTCACTATTTGACACCCTGGGAAGAAGAAGCTGTCAAAATATCAGTGTTTCAGGTATATGGTCACAAAACACTGAGCAAACTGACACTTTAACCTGATGATGGCACCAGAGCAAGAGTCATGGGATTACCAAAGTTTTCATATAAGACATCTATTAGTTTTGAAGATATTTCAGTCTGGACCAACTGACTGACCAGTCTTGACAGAGGTAACAAGAAAATTTAAATTATTCCAAGCTCCTGTCAAAGTTCAGTAACAGATGTACAGTGGAAGTCTGTGTGTGTGTGGTTTACAGTGGCTTTATGCTTGTAGTCAAGTAATGAAGACATAATACAGTTACTGTAAATCCTGTCCAGAAAATCCTCTTCCAGTACTCAACCACCTCAGTCAACTAAATGGTTTCTTTCCCTCTTTCACTTCTGCACCTCTGACAGCCCAATAAAGGCCAGCAACTTCATGTGGAGGCTGAACAAAGACACAAAACCCGGTCAGGGGTCTTTACTGAGGAAAAGGACACGATGGGAATGGATGGAGAAAACAGAAGAAAGAGCCGGAGGAGAGGTGAAGATGAACGGCTGAAGTCCCAGTCCAGCTGACCACAGGAGGCCCCAGAGTTACACAGACGTAGTGACATGTCTCCAAGAGACAGTTTGTCATGGTTGTTACGTAACTTTTTACTATACATGTGCTTTCTAAGATTTAATATTTTACTTTACCGAGATGAACAGTTACTATGAGCAGCTTGCAACAAATTAAGTGTTGATAGGATAAAGACTCGAGTGGTGCCTGGTGTGAATGCACCCCATGCAGACACAAAGGGCTGCCCAACTTTTATGTTGCATTATTTTGACCTGTTGTGGAATTTAGTTTTAGTCCAATCGTTCTCATTTCATTATCACTTATACTATTGTTATATTTATTGTTTAACTGCAACATTTAAGTTGCTTAATTATGAAAGAGCGCACCCCCTGAAATCAGCACAGAAAAACTTTGAGGAGAATCAGCGGTGCATGCCGACAGAGCCCTCCTACTCCATACTAACCCACCCACCCTCGCTCACGTCATCCTGCTCTGACAGACTATATAAAGTAGGGCAGTCAGAGCGGACATGTAGATATATGGTACTGTCTGAGACTTAAGCATGTTTTTTTAATGGTGGTGGGAGCAGGTTGGATTTGCAGCATCAGGAGTGAAGTCTGTGTCGCCTGATCTTCCACAGAACTGTCCAGCTGTCTGACGGCGGCAAAACCAGTTCATACAGACTGAACAGTAGAAGTCAGACAGCTGCAGAGCACAGCTAACAAAACAGCAGGTGGATGGTTCTCCCACAGAGCCACTGTTTAATTACAGTCTCCCCGTTAAAGTGGTTCAGTCTTTAATGACTCTTTTTTAATGTAAGGTGGCTTTGCTGTGATGGGTGCTTGTGCAGAAGGGTAGTAATGAGGTGAATTCAGTGTGCGGGTGCTCAGCAAACCAGAGTAACAATCTACACAACACACACACACACACACCTGCGGGGGGGGGACACTTGGATTTTTAGTTTAACCACCCTTGTACTTAACTAAATGGCCTTTACACACTCACTTTGTAACTGCTGTAATTTACAACATCTTTTGTTTTGCTTTTGTGTCTTCTGGAAATACACACACACACACACACATACCCTGTGTGCAGCTTCTGTGTCAGTTGTGGCTGCTCTCACCTGGCTTCGATCTGGTGGAAGAGGTTGTGCCAGCGCTGGCTGACCTCCTGCAGTGAGCTGTGGACCTGGGTGTGCTTGGCCTCATCACTGGCTAACAGCAGCTGCTCACCCAGCTGCTTCAGGTGGCTTTTATTCTCACTGAACAAGTTGATCTCCTCCATGCAGTCCTGTGGAGACACGGCACCATAAGATTATGCTTTTTTTATGCATTTCTGCTATATACTAGGGTTTCATAGGTTGATTATTTCAGTAGTTATCATATCAAACAAGTGATTTAATCCCTGCATAAGGTGCAGATACATTTCAGATCGATCTCCAATTACAATGAAGCATTGCATTTGTAAACTTCAGGTTTTGTTCTCATGTTAACCAATTCAGCTGAAAAGGATGGCCATCAGATCTGGATGAAATCTGGTCTGGTGATAGACATTGCCACCCTACCCTGACACCCTGATGTCATAACTTTTGATGGAGATATGAATTAAAAAAATTTTGCCCCATGTTAAACATTTTGTTGTTCTTTTTTTTGTGAGCTTGATCACTTTTAGGGTTGGTTCCCACCAATGTCTGTACCCAGTATGATGATGTTCTAACTCAGCTGCTTGTTCCTGCTAACCAACACACAGAACTAAAAACACCTTCCTTGGTGGAGGCAATTATTAATTCGTTATTAAAAAAAGGTACAAAAGGCTTTCAGTCACTGAAAGGACACCTGTTCTGTGTAAACAAAGAGTACAGTGCATTTCCATTCCAGGCCACCATCTGTTAGAAACAGCATAAACTCTAAATATCACCACAATTAATTTCACAACAACATCCCTCTAACCTGTGTGATGTGGACAGTTGCACAAACAGTCAAAAACAATCTTCTCATATGGGCTGATGAGACAAAATATCAGATAAAGCCCTAACATGTATCTATTGCAGCGTCTTTCATATGAAAACATCTGTATTTGGGTAGAGAATATAGTCTAGATGTTGTACCTTCTTCAGTTTCTCCACCATGTCCTTGATACTCAGGTCTCCACTGTGGCACACCTTATTCTCCATCTGAGTCAGCCAGTTGCAGAACTCTCTGTTTTTGTCATTGAAGATGGTCCAGGCATTGAGACTGTCTGCGATTTCTTGCCTGCGCAAGGACACCTGGGACGAGTGAAAGTGATGAAAGTGGCATTTAGCAATTTTGCACACACTGGTAGAGAGACAAATCTTATGTAAAAAAATATGCAAAGTATCAGAATGCAGAAAAATCACCTTTAGTTTTTGCACTGAGCAGACAGGTGTGTTTATGTATTTAAAACTGCCTGGTGTGATTTCAAGAGCCATTAAAATAGTTCACTTTAACAAACAACTTGATAATGCTGGGAGGACACCTGTGGTGCTGAGCAGAGCAGCATCTACTGATCCTCCACATCTCTGGCAGAATCAGTCATTATCTGAATTGAAAGAAATTCCCAAGAGTCTGGCTCTTTGATAAAATTAACAAGGTCCATTTACCAAACGACAGCTTAATGCCATGAAAACACCACATTACATAGGAGAGGAGGGGGCTGGTAGTCTTAGCGAACCCACAGGGCACGTCTGAACCAGCTACATTTTACTGTTGAGTGGCGTTCATCGTTTAAATGAATCCTGCTTTGGTTTTAATGTACTCAAACCACTGGACCTTTTGGACTCTGAAGAATTCAGGGTGCACTGTGAGTTGCTGTCACCCCGTGAGGGCTATGTGTGTCTCTAGGAACAATAGAGCCTGTCCCCCAAATCCCCCCCCTAGCCTAGCCAGGCCATCTGCTGTTCAGACCCATTCCAGTGGCTTCCCCCACCTACAACCTGTTAACTATGCCAAGGAAATTCAGATCCATGCCCCCCGGCCATGTCATGAATGAATAGGGATGAAAAGCCTTGTGTGATTCAACAGCTGAAATCAGTCTGCGCTTTGCCAAATTAACCGACTTAATTTTTCTTCCAGCGACTTCACAATTAAGTAAAAAATGTCATAAAAGTCAATTTAGTGATAAGTAAGTACAAGTCTGCTGTAAAAGAAAAAAAAAAACACAGAACCCAATAAAACAACTATGATTCAGCATAAATGAGGCCTGGTTTGTTTTTTGACAAACTAAGAACTGGGATGACCAGCTACCATGGTTGCACACATAACAAACACGATGCTCTATACAGTCCAAAGCCCCAAATGTGAAATGAAAAAAAAAATGTTTGGACATTCTTGTTGCTGTTGCTGCATCCATGAATCCCATAACTACTGCAAAGACAGGAGCAGTTGGAATAAGCGAGTCTAAGTGGGGACCCAATTAGCATGAGTACAAATTATCCCACTCGTAACTGATAAAACTGACCTGAGCATGTCACGATAGTTTGTCTCTCAAGAACAAGAGTGCATTTGTCTCTAAGTCAACAAACTGTAGGAATGTGAACCAGTGCGCATAATATGGAGCTACTTTTGTCAATAGTGCAGTTACAGAATTAACTGCCTGTTCTATCAGTTTCATGTAACTTGCAAAGTGAGTCCGAGTCAGGAGCCAATTCCAACCCTTAACTTTTTTTATATGCTAATACAAGCAGAGAGCTCCATTTAGAATGCTTCTGCAGTAGAAATGTGAAACATTAATGTGTCTAATTTGAATGAATTTGGAGGCAAGTTGCTTAAATATTAACAGAAGCATGTGATGATGTAGTTTCCCTCCGTGAACCTGCACATGTTGGCTTCTTTCTCAAACAAATGAGCCTGTGTATGTGTGCCCAGCTCCAGTGGTGCAGAGGCTTTGTGCTGCTGGTTACCGCCAGGAAACCGCTGGTAGCAACTTTTCCCTCCTTCTCTCCCTTATCCCTCCTTCTCCCTCCCCAAAACCTCACCGCTCCACCTGCACCCTCTGCAATCTCTCACATTTTTTTGGATCATTTTATGGCGTTTTCGTTTCTTTTTTGTCAGGTCTCACCTTCATACACAGCTCTTCCCATTGACTGTGGAGTTGCTCCAGCTGCTGCTCCAGCAGAGCCGAGTCACCGGCTGTGACATACTGGGAGAGGTCTGTCTTCATAGTGGCCAGTTCCTTCATTCCACTGGCCAAATGCTGCAGAGAGCGCTCACTTTCCTGCATAACACACACATAAACACACACTTAAACACCCAGTCAGTCAGCCGGCCATATACAAGCTGTGTGCACATACTTCTTTCTCAGTCTTGTTCACTCTGACCATTCAGATTAAAGGGCTGTGGACACGACAGGGGGATGGTAGAAGGGGTACAAAGGGGGAGGGGAGTGAAAGCATGGGGCTATTAAATAGGAAAAAGGGTGGTAAACTCAGAGATCAGTGCCGCTCTGGTGGAATGGGGGTAGCTACTGGTGGACTGGGAAAAACTTGGGCCAGTTTTCAGTCTGACTGGTCAGGTTTGGCACCTATTGTATATGGTCACTTTATGCTGTAATGTCACACACATTATACAGTGATAATCAATTGTTGGAGAAAAGGCGTATCCTAAATGGGTCCTGCTCTGTTAATACTAAGTTTTAGGAGACTGATTAGCTCTGGCGATCCAGCCTAACCTGGAGAATCCTAACAATGAGTGACAGCCAGTCCCCTGAGGCCAAATCACTCCTTTGTTCACTCACTGTCGACTCACTCCCCAGTTTTCTCTATGTGACAAGTAAACTGGGATTCTAGGACTTTATAGTACAAATCATCACTGACAGGAGCTGCAGGACTAAAAATGGAGAATGGTGCGTTGTGCAGTAGCGCACATGCTAAGGACACTGCACTACTTACTTATACTGCACTACAAAGTATAAAAGGAGTGATTTGGCCACAGCCCACATTTCCTTAATGCCTAATTCCTGGTGTTTAATTTTCCATTTAACTGTTCAAATATATTTTCATGTTGGTCCAAATGCTGTTCTTTAGTCTTATCCACACTGAACAAAACTCTTTTGTCTGTCAGGGTGAAAAGATACATGTACCTCAGGTTGCTAAAACCTACGTATTTAATGTCCTCAGTGGCAGCTACGACCCTTTCACAATATTAGTTTTAACAATAAGAAGTCAGAAGATGATAAAAGATGCCTCACACCAAGTTACATTTAATCTCAAAAGTAAAATATAATAAATACACAACATTATTACTCAAAGATCCATTTTTTTACTCTGGATAATGCACGTGTTGGACTATCACTCACACAGCACCAGATCTACCAGGGACACATCAATAATTGTACAAACAGTTTCTTTCATTAAGGAGCAAGTAGACCCTAAAAATGTTTTATGAAGCCAGGACTGCATTTCATTTCTAATGCTGTATTTTCAACACATTCACAAAACACACGAAAACAACACCTGTGTATAATTCACCTGAATAAATGTCTCGTCCTCAGAACCCTCCGATCTTTCAGGCAGCTGTTGCTTCAGCCGGGTCTGCAGCTCATCCAGTCCAGACATGATATTGATTATTTCGTCCTGACACTCAGACCACTTCTAAATAGCATCAGGACACAGGGGAAGGAGATCTCAGTGGTGTGTGTGTGTGTGTGTGTGTGTGTGTGTAACCTGACACACTGATCAGTAACTTGTTTAACTTCTATGAAAACCTACTGTATTTAGTATATTTTTTGGGAATTACATTTTGCGAATCAGTTCCATCAAGTGAAATGGGAACAGGTTCAGTTAACACAGAGGGAACACATTTCAACGTATTATTAATTTCTTAAATTTTTTGTTGTCTGTTCCTGAAAATGTGATTGCAAAACCACATAAAAAAGACAAAACAAAACTGTGCATGTTATCACTATTCTTATGTTTTAAAAATATTTCCCCCAAACAAAACCACAGCACCACCAACAACATGTTCAGATACTGGGCCTGATATATAGCAAAGTTAGTCTCATGCTGTCAGTGATGCTTTTTGCTATCACAGTATCTGTGTGATCTTTGACTTGTTGCTCATTTTTCATTTCTTTTTCCTCTGGGGCCCCTGTTTACCTTAAAGGGGTTAAAACAACTTTCCCTGACCTCTGGATACTAGAACGTTCAGTTGAAATTAACAAGACCAGCTAAAATCCAGACTGCAGTGATCTTGCACAGTGTGGAGCAAAATATGCTGCTACATTCAACCTCGTCGGCCATGTATTTTAGAGAATATATCCATCAGTCTTTCTCCAGCTCCAACATGATGCTGATTCTTCCTGCACTGCAGCCAGTTAAAGACTGATATGCTTTGCTTCTACAAACTGTGTGTAGAGACAAGGTTTGGTCCTTTAATCTTATTTTTATAGTATTTTATTATCTTTTTATTAAAAAAAGTAAAAAAAAGAAACGAAAAGAAACAAACGTGTGTTAATAAACGAACAATTAAATATGGCAGTTACCTGAACTGTTGTGTTGACCAGGTCTGATCTGCTCCTCAGCAGTGACGTGGCTCGTTCCCAGGCCTCATCAATGACCTGACGCTCCGCCTGCAGTCGGCTCCGACACTCACCCTCTGCCACGGTTTCACACAGGTATCTGCCAGCTGCCAGTGTCTGGGCGTACACAGTGGAGTGCAGACCCAAAGCCTCTTCAACGCACTTGGAAGGGTGTGGGTGAGACAGTGCATGTTGTTCAGCATTCTTAATTAAAACATTACATTTGGTACAAAATCTCAAACTCAAACAACAGAGTTAGTCAACATTTTTTTGTTCATTGCAGTGATGAAGAACAAAATTAGGAGTACAGCACACTTCCACAGATGTCCATCCATACTGACCTGGCAAAGATCCGCACAGCTCTGTAGCTGCTGCAGTGCACATGGAGCAGGACCAGGCGGAGGAACCAGAATGTCGACATTCTTCAGGAGCTTCCACAGAACTTTCAGACCATGACGGTAGGTCCTCCACTGGTGCAGCTGCTCTTTTACCAAAGATCTGCACTGACCAACCACAGCTACAGAGTTAATCCAGCCCGTCTTCAGAGAGGCCACTTGTGCCATGACTTCAGATCTGAAAGACGCAGCACACAGGTATGTCACCAGACACATAGAAACGAATAAAAAAAACAAAACAACCCAATGGCTAAAAACTGGTGTGCCGGCATCCAAGCAAAATCTACAAACATGCAATGAATTCAGTATAAAACAGAAGACAGTCTTATAGCCTTAACTTGCACTTGCATCAAGGGGAAAGAGGAAACTTTCCTTTGGATCCCTTAAAACATTTAAGAGGTTTCCAAAAACTAAATGAGGAATGAGAAATAGAGCTTTTCCAGAGCAGGAAACACCTGCATATAGTGCATGTTGTTGTGTCGCTGTGTGCATCCAGTATGTGACCATTTCAAGCAAAGAAAGGAATGTAACTGGACCACCTCAGACCCAATTCATTTATGAGATGAAAGGGTCTCAAGAACAAACCCACTCACTCTGATAACTCAGATTGGTTCCAGTGTCAGAGCCAGGAAAAGCTAAATAATGTCTGTAAATACTAGAGTTAATATGAAACCTGTCAGGTGTTGTCCAAATACCAAAGGTGAGTTGATGAGTAAAACACTTGATCAATCTGCAAATGGTATGTAAACAAAGGTCTTACATCTCATCCTACAACTGGACACCTACAGTATATTCTGACAATGATGCATCACATGCTTGGTCAAGACTTAAATATTCCAGTACTATGTCTTACCTATAAACTCCATTTGTGTCTAGTAACACAGAGCTGTGAGCAATCTGACTAATCAAACCCCAGAGTATTACAGTATGCTGAACTGAGTATAGACTGAAACTGATGAATGCAATTATCCTTTGTGAGTTTATTAACTTCATTCTGGTCCTGAGTGGACACACAAGAGATGAGCTAGGGAAAATCAGGGCTTAACAGGAGAAGCTGTCTCACTGCTGTTCATGCAGTATTTTGGACTGAAAGCTCACTACTAGGCTTGTTATGTGTTTAAAGGATTTTTGTATAGAATTCGACTGCAATTTAATGTCTTCCAAATCTTATGTATACCTTTTCTCTTTCGTTTCATTTTCCGTGGCCATGACTGCATCACAGATAAGACCCTGCAGAAGCTGGTGTCCAGTAACTATTTCAGCCTGAAGTCTCTGTGGGAGCGAGTGATAACAGCAGGAGAGAGAACACGATGAGATTCACAGATTACACTCTCCATTTTTCATCACATTTTTTTTTTTCCAATAGATTAATGGTACCAATACCAGTGTGAGTTAAAGACAAAGTTTTTCCTTCCAAACAACATTCACTATTTAAAACACCGCACTGAAGCTGCCAAATGTCCTTCATATTAAATACATAAATTCAAAAGCACTTATGCTAATGAGGTTATTAAAACTGAGCTTCCTCAAGCCTTAATTCCAAAATATTTCTTGGTACTTGACGTGCTTTTCATCTAGGAACCCCTGGGCAGTATACAGATGGCTGTTTATCTAGAGATCAGACTAATCTGCAGATGTAGGAGGAGAAATACTTTTTCAACAAAGATTTTAACCCTCTCTCCCCCATGAGAAAAGCTGGCGAGTTAACTTTGCTTTTAAGACAGCTTAAAAGCAAGCATGGCTTGTTAGGTTAAATAACTCAGGTTACTGGCTCCTGCCAGGATGAAAAGACTACAACTTGAAGCTTTTATTCCCAAGAACATTTTTAAAATTAGACTCTTTTGAGCTGGTTTCCATTTGTTGACCGACACATACAGTATTGTTCAAAATAATAGCAGTACAATGTGACTAACCAGAATAATCCAGGTTTTTAGTATATTTTTTATTGCTACATGGCAAACAAGTTACCAGTAGGTGCAGTAGATTCTCAGAAAGCAAACAAGACCCAGCATTCATGATATGCGCGCTCTTAAGGCTGTGCAATTGGGCAATTAGTTGAAAGGGGTGTGTTCAAAAAAATAGCAGTGTCTGCCGTTGACTGTACAAACACAAAACTATTTTGTACAAACGTTTTTGTTTCTAGGATTTAGCAATCCTGTGAATCACTAAACTAATATTTAGTTGTATGACCACAGTTTTTTATAACTGCTTCACATCTGTGTGGCATGGAGTCAACCAACTTGTGGCACCTTTCAGCTGTTATTACACTCCATGATTCTTTAACAACATTCCACAATTCATTTACATTTCTTGGTTTTGCTTCAGAAACAGCATTTTTGATATCACCCCACAAGTTCTCGATTGGATTAAGGTCCGGGGATTGGGCTGGCCACTCCATAACATTAATTTTGTTGGTTTGGAACCAAGACTTTGCTCGTTTACTAGTGTGTTTGGGGTCATTGTCTTGTTGAAACAACCATTTCAAGGGCATGTCCTCTTCAGCATAAGGCAACATGACCTCTTCAAGTATTTTGACATATGCAAACTGATCCATGATCCCTGGTATGCGATAAATAGGCCCAACACCATAGTAGGAGAAACATGCCCATATCATGATGCTTGCACCACCATGCTTCACTGTCTTCACTGTGTACTGTGGCTTGAATTCAGAGTTTGGGGGGCGTCTCACAAACTGTCTGTGGCCCTTGGACCCAAAAAGAACAATTTTACTCTCATCAGTCCACAAAATGTTCCTCCATTTCTCTTTAGGCCAGTTGATGTGTTCTTTGGCAAATTGTAACCTCTTCTGCACGTGCCTTTTTTTTAACAGAGGGACTTTGCGGGGGATTCTTGAAAATAGATTAGCTTCACACAGACGTCTTCTAACTGTCACAGTACTTACAGGTAACTCCAGACTGTCTTTGATCATCCTGGAGCTGATCATTGGCTGGGCCTTTGCCATTCTGGTTATTCTTCGATCCATTTTGATGGTTGTCTTCCGTTTTCTTCCACGTCTCTCTGGTTTTGCTCTCCATTTTAAGGCATTGGAGATCATTTTAGCTGAACAGCCTATAATTTTTTGCACCTCTTTATAGGTTTTCCCCTCTCCAATCAACTTTTTAATCAAAGTACGCTGTTCTTCTGAACAATGTCTTGAACGACCCATTTTCCTCAGGCTTTCAAATGCATGTTCAACAAGTGCTGGCTTCATCCTTAAATAGGGGCCACCTGATTCACACCTGTTATTTCACAAAATTGATGACCTCACTGATTGAATGCCACACTGCTATTTTTTTGAACACACCCCTTTCAACTAATTGCCCAATTGCACAGCCTTAAGAGCGTGCATATCATGAATGCTGGGTCTTGTTTGCTTTCTGAGAATCTACTGCACCTACTGGTAACTTGTTTGCCATGTAGCAATAAAAAATATACTAAAAACCTGGATTATTCTGGTTAGTCACATTGTACTGCTATTATTTTGAACAATACTGTATATTTCAAAAATGAAAGAATGTGAACAAATGATTTGTACCTGATGGACAGTCAGCATCTCCTGGAGGTTGGAGTGACTTTGAGGCTTTCTGGACACTAACTCTTGCTCCAACTTCTCCTGTATAGACATCAGGTTCGTACTCTTCTCCTGAAAGTTTTGGGAGAGCTGATGCTCAGCTCGCAGCTCTCTGGAAACCAACATGACAGATAAATGCCCAGTCCTGCTACAGACTACAGGTGCACATTTTAAAATGTGGAATAAGTTAAATGTCACACAAAGAAACACACTACACTGTGATGACATTTCTGGCAAAATGTTTTGTGAACCTTTTCAAATTGCAGCAACTAAAAATTCATAACACAATTCTACACCTCACCAATTTAGATTTGCCCTTTTAGATCTGAAATTTCTCACCCGTTCATGTCAGATATGCGAATCATGCTTTCAGTCCATTCCCTGCTGAGCATGTGTAGCCTCTCTGTCTCTTGGTTTTTAAGGTTCATAGAGCCACTCATCTCCCTGATGTCAACCAGTGATGGGAACAGAGCACTGAGCTCCAAAAGAACCTGCTACACATCCAAGAAACATTACACAGAGGCACATTTTTAGTTGGAAACCCCACAGTCCGAAAAATACAAAAATTTAAACAGGAAGCACCAATGTAATGTACCTCAACAGAATCGGTGTCAGTCAGGCCATCCTCCAGTTTAGGCCGCATGCTCTGCATCTGCTTGTCAAGAGCCTCCAGATGAGCATGAAAACGTTTCTGCTCTTCTAAATCCTCCTGCACACAAAGACAGTAAAGTAACTCATTTAACATCAGTCTGGATTCAAGCAGACAAATGCTGAACTGAGTCACTGCTACCAATAAAAAGTGTACAGTTACAACCAGTATTTCTACTACTGTTCTACAATGAAGGTGATAATTCAACAACTTTGCACACCTCAA